ATAGATAGATAGATAGATAGATAGATAGATAGATAGATAGATAGATATGTTTGTCTATTTGTATATATATTTTTAAGGTATGCTCTTTATTTCCTTTCAAACTATTCTATTTATATTATTCACAAACTTAGCTTCTTTCCAGACGTTTCATATTGTGAAAAGAAATATCCACATGGGAATGGTGTTTTGTTGCTTTCCACATTTAGCTTTTGCTGCTACAAAATACACATACACTCCCATATGCATAGGCTGTTTGTGTTTCTGCATAAAAATTCGGTAAATGAGGTAAACTTTCCTCAACATTTGCCTGTCTTCTCTATCTCCTGATTGTGTGCCAGAGTGAGTGACAATTTAAAGTGATAGTTTAAATCTCCATGGATTATTTTGAATGGGTAAATATTTTGAGGCCCTTAATCTAACTGAGTATAAAGATGCATTGATGGGGGTAATTTTTTATTCAATCAGGCTCATGCAGAGGCTGATTACTGAGTGATGACTCTATGTTCATGTGTGAAAATTAGTGTATAGACACATTGACAGATGCACTTGTACTGCACACTCACCAATCATCAGCCCACGCAGAAATTACCATAAGAATAAAGATGAACAGAAATCCTTCAGAAGAGGCTTAATGCAGCATCTGTGCCTAGCCTCTTTGACACAGCTTGAATGAAATGCTGTTGTTGTGAAAGCAAGTTAACTATTTTCATTTGGATACAATCAGCATGCTATTGCTGGTGTGTCTCTTTCTTAGTCCCACTGGAAAACCAGCAGGTGCCACCAAATTATGGCAGCCTCTTTTCCTCCTCTTATTATAAATAGTCAATACACATCGCACTTTTTTCTATCTTTTATTTTGTTTATGCTGTTTGAAAAGAACGGTATGCTTGCGCTTACTTAATGCATGACTTTTTGGATAGCCTCCTTGGTACATGATTTAACATCTGCTTTGATTTTTGAGTTATCTCATGTTCATACATCTCTACAAACAGACTTACAAAAGCACACAGATTCTGAAGTGGTGAAACTCCACAAACAGTAGGCTTAACTTGCATGTGCTTTAAAGTTTCAGCTCTATGTTTGATATTTCATCACTATTGCACCATTTCTATTTCAAACTCTCCTTGATGCTGTTAATGATATATAATGTAATTTCTGTTCTTAGCTGATATTCAAGGATTAATCTAGTGATTGTCTCCTCTAACTTCAAATGTCTCTTATCATCTTTCAACCATGTACATTACTTTCCTGATAACACATCATTTGGCATATACGTGTCTTATCATATTAAAGCTAAGTAATTTATGTCTGTTATACTTTTTCTTGAACTTTCTCTTTGTTTTTTAACCCTCTCTCTGCTGGCAGAGCTCAGAACATTTTCCGGCAGGCAATGCGCACCCCGGTTATCCTTTTCCACGTTGTTCCTGCAACCATGAAGAGGCAGTATGACATACTGTCAGCCCAGAGTGAGCTCAGTTCACCTCAGACAAACAGGGTTCATTTTAGCCAAGTCTCGCTGCAATCAGGGGAGAGATCAAGTCTGTTTGGAGGGTTGACAATTAGATCCGGTCCACAATCCAGCTTAAATCACAGGTGGGTTTTGGGCATGTTAGTTATTATACAGTTACCCTTGATGACCCCTTTTGTTCATATAGCCTAAACATTCTATATCAGTGAAAATTTTTAAATCATGAAATCATTAAGGAAAATCCTGAGGCACTGAACAACAGAAAAACGAAAAGGGCTAAATCTTAAGGGATGTGTGTGCCTGGGTTTTTACAGTGAATCTGAGTATGTGGGTTACAAGCTATGCAATAAAAGGCATCTTTACAGTATAGTTCAAGTAACGAGTCCTTATAGGACACGGCACACAGATAATGTTTTTAATACGTTCTCATTTGACTTTACATGCCAGCTTTCCTTAATATTCAGAGCTGTGTACATGTATAGTTTGATTATCTCTGTTTAAAACAGCAGTATTATCATAGAAATTCTAAGTTGAAAAGAGACAGGCACATAGCCATTTTCCAGAATAAGAAAAAAATGTGCAGTCATAACCTTACAACCAATTTAAAAACCAATAAATAGTTATTGGGACATATGTACTTTACTCAGCAGAACACATTGTAATAAAAAAAGGAAGATGGGAATTATTTTAAATGCTACTTTCCTTTAGCCCATCTATCCTTAGAAATGGTTCATTGTGATAGGTGAAGCGCAAGACAAATCAGGATTTCTGTGTTCTCCTTATAGTCACCAAGGCCCTCTGGCAGGAAGCACCCCAGAACCAAGTCGACGGCATACCACTTTACCCCACGCTTTAATCTCCAGGACCTGTTCTGCCCACTCTCCTTCCCTGCAGCGCAGGATAAGCTCAAACCTGTCTAACAGCTCGTACCCAAAGAAAAAAGGGCACAGATTCAACATCCAGCTAAAGAAAGGTAACATTTATCAGGCAACTATCTGATTGTAAAATGTAAAACCCCAAAATCTTTTCATGTTACATAATAATGTACTGAATTTAGATTTTTTTCAGGTAGCCCTCTAGTGCTCATGCTGGATATATATATATATACTTATGTATATATATATAAAATACAGTACATACGTACATACATACTTAAGCAGCTAAGTGGTCCACAAAGATGCGTTATTATTCTATGAGCTGATGTAGCTCTCTGCTAATGATATCAGAACCAAGAAGCGACTGTGTTTCTACCAGCAAGAAAGCTGACGTTTTGATCTGCAAGTAGATGATGGACTGACTTGGACATTTTCACGGTTTAAAGGGGAAGGATCTAATATGCAGGAACAGGCAGGGAGACAAAAAGCAAACAAAAGCAATAACCCCAGGCGTGACAGAAATATAAAAACATTTTAAGCCATAAGGAAGGTCTTTTAAAAAAAAATTCCTGACATTCCTGTTAGCACTGTTGTCTTAGCAAGAGGGTTCCCGGTTTAAAACCACCGGGGCAGAGGATGTTTCTGTATGGAGTTTGTACTCCCCATGTCTCCCTAAATTCTTTCTGGTTTAGTCCCACCATCCAAAAACATGCATATTAGAACAACTGATTATTCCACAGTGAGTGTGTGCAATAGTTGCATGGCTCTGCGATGAACTGGTGACCTACCTCTCCTTTCACCCAGTGTCAGACTCTACCCCCCAACTCCGACCCTTCTTGAAATATAGTTATATAGCTCAATTTTCCCATAATCACTAGTATTTTGGTTTCTTAAGTCTCACTGTGCTACACTCACATTCAACTTTTGCCAGAAAGAGCAAAAGATTAAAGGACTCCTAAGGAATCAGTTTTAGCTGAATGTCTTCTGTAAATATCTGGCAAAGAAGCCTTTGTAGTAAGCTTTTGGGAATAGTGCAGCAAGTGGGGCCAGACGTGCTGTAACACGCTCGGGGGAAATATGGTCAGATGCTGGTCTGATATGTTTGGCAAAGGTTTCTGGATTTCGCAATCTCAATTTCTTCAGTGAAGAGTTGCCTTGCAAGTTGCACAGTAATAATTTGTTCATTATATGATCACACAATTTTTTTCTGAAAACTGCAGCAGTCTTGTTTTTAAATGGTTTCAATTATGTCCACGAGAGAAATTCTAGGCAGAGGCAGATTTTGAATGACAAATTAACAAGGGTGCCTTAATCAAATACTTGTGTTAAGTATTAAGTATCCTGATGTTCACCAGCTTTTCTCATATTTGCTGTTGATGAACTGCGTTATTGGAGCCAGGATAACAGCTATTACAAAGGATTACACATATTATTTATTGTCCTGATTCAATATTATCCAAAATAAATATATCACTGCTCATTTACTGTATACCCATTAGGAAGATGTTCTTCCAATTTGTTGATACAAACATTTATGATGGGATCTTCTGATTAAACCAGCTAATAGTAGCTTGAAACTAAATGAAGAGCTATTATTTAAACGAGGGAACATAATTGTAATTTACAATGTATTATGATCCAAAGAAATATATATTTTTAAATTTCAAATTGATTTTATGAGCTTCAAAATTGTTTTTCTAAACGAAAGCTTCACCCGTTTAACTTTATGTTAAACTGCTTGGTAGCAATAACTGATAACTTCCTCAACTATTGTGTGACCCCGTTTAAAGACATGAAAGACAACTACATATTTAATATTCAGCTTAAACGCAGACCGCAGTTTCCGTCTGCTCCCTTATTTTAGCTTTATGGGGCAGAGATCAGAGAGGATCATTATCCTCAACACTTCAACTTTCTAACTGTGTAAGCAATCTTTTTATCACCTTTATGCAAGTTTGTTTGTGTGCAGATGCCAGAGGAAAGTTGCCAATCATGTTTTTTTCCTCATGGTGTTCCTTGCTTATCAACACATCACTGTCAGGAAGCTGACAGACAGACTGTTAAAGAGACATAGATGGAAAAGTAGGTCATGATGAACTATCAGAGGTGCTGACAGCTCTCTCAAATGGGCCGCTACTTTGACAGGCATACTAATAAGTGCTGTAACATTTTAAAAAGCCTAAAAATCATGTTACAAGACTTTCCAACTTGACTGCTGGAAATTCAAACAGGCTGGTAATACATGGCAGAATTTTAACCATCTGTTTGATCTCTGGTGCAAATGTGTCATCTAATGCCCCTTTTGTTGCAATGCTGTTCAATTTTTAATTACCAAGTCAAAGAGCTTAGCAGACACAACAGTTTTATCTGTCATAACGAAAAGCTTGTTTTTTTTTTCTCTCTTGACACCTTTGAGCTCGGAAGGCCAGTTTTTAAAATAAAGTAAATGGCTTTGCCAGCTGATACTTTTATATTTTTTCAGATTAAGCTTTTTTGTTTTTTGTCAGTAGACAAAAACAAAGGCTTTGTTCAGAAATCATCACTTACCATTTCTCACTTTATTCATGGCTTTTTCACGTCCCTAGGCCCAGAGGGTCTTGGATTCAGCATCACGTCCAGAGATGTCCCCATTGGAGGAACTGCTCCCATTTATATCAAAAACATACTTCCTCGGGGAGCTGCCATTCAAGATGGTCGGTTGAAGGCTGGAGATCGACTGCTGGAGGTGGAGCAACAATTTCCACTTTTAACTATTTTGTAGTTTTCATCTGATTAGATTATTTCTTATTTCAGAAATTAGTTTATCTTCTGCTATGGCTTGTATGTAATTTTGCAGAGTTTTGCAGAGCTTTTAAAAAATAAGTCAAAGCTCTTCTATCCCAATGTAAGTTTAAAAAATATTTTGAATAATGTTCAGTCATTCTGATGAGAAAATTAGCTACCTGTCTCTTGTGAAAGGTGAGCAACCCATGTTTAATCCTAGCTTTAATTGGTTTTGACTTTGATGTGCATAGAAATTATGCTATTTTGTTTTTCTCTGAAAAGTCGAGATAGATTTTTCTGAGTTTTATGCTTATTTTTTTCTGTGTATGTGGTTATCTTGCCATTCATTACAATGTGCATGTGTGTATGCAGGTTAGTGGAGTTGACCTCAGTGGAAAAAGCCAAGAGGAGGTGGTTGCCCTGCTTCGTGCCACACCCATGGGTGGGATTGTTAACATGGTTGTAATCCGCCAGGAGGACTCCATATTGCCCCGAGAAGTGGTCAGTTAAGCAACAGAAACTAATCTTATAATCAGAATGATAAGTCAGGGATACTATACATTTACAAATCCAAATGTACTGCAGCTGCTACTTGCAACAACTTGAGATATCTTTATTTCTAACACCTACATTATCAGCTTTTTTAACATTATTTCTCTTCAGATTCAGCTCTCCCATCTGATATTTTTTGTATTATGTTGTCTTGTATTTATTCCTGTCTTTTTTCAATTTTCTTGAAAATTGAAAAAGTGTTTTTGTGTGATGATGTGAAATGGCTGCTCCTGAGTCAGACAAAACCCAGTTACCACTTTTGACATCCCTTGTCAGAAATCAGAATCAGAAGCAGAAATCGCTTTATGGCCAAATGTACAGAGAAATTGACATGGTATCCCGACGCAAGAGGACAGTTTCAATAACAACAGGACAGTTTAAATAACAAGTGACTGTAGAAGTGGTTGGAGGGTGGAGATGTTCTTATTTAACCCTATAATGCCAAATGTATCATATCTGATACATACGGTTTCTGAAGTCTTTTGAATCTGAGACTTTTTGCATCATTCAATGGTAAAAGCTTTGCTCAAAACCCCGTTGTACACATTCAGATATACCTGATAACAGCCAGTAGAAGACTATACCAAAATATATATTTGACTTATTGCATGCTAGTTTGATCAAAGATGGTGGTGGCCTGGGGGAAAAAAACTGTTCGGGTGCCTGGTGGTTCTGCTCCTGATGGATCTGAACTTTCAACCTGATTGGAGGGGTGTTAATAGGGCGTGAGCTGGGTGAGATTGGTCCCCCACTATCCTCCTGGCCCTCTGCTAAGATCTTCTACTGTGCGTAACACACACAGGCTCCTGTTGGAGTACGCCATCTCATTGTTGTTCTTGATAAGGCCCAGGACCGTTGTGTCATCCCCAAATTTGACTAGATTGATGGATGCGTGGCTGAAGAGGCAGTCATTGGTTTACAGGGAGAACAGGTAGGGGGAGAGCACACAGCCTTGTGGAGCACCGGTGTTGGTGGTGAGGGGGGCTGACAGGAAGCTGCCAATCTGCACTTGTTGCTTCCTGTTGGTGAGGAAGTCAGTGATCCACTCACAGATGGGTATGGGAATGTGTTGCTGTAGTAGATTATAGTGTCAGTTCTCCTAAAATGGCGGTCTTTTGTATTCAGTTTTTATAGGTATTATATATGTAGTTATTTATCAACCCTCATGTTTACAGTGTGTCTCTTCATTTAGTTTCATGCCAGCTGCCCTGTTTACCCCATTTCAATTTACCAAACTCTGGTCTCGTGGATATTCTTTGGTTTAATAACTCATTTTAATTCGCTGAGGTTGTTTGAAAGAAGGGCGGCACGGTGGTGTGATGGTTAGGAGAATCGCTTCACAGCAGTAGGGTTCTGGGTTCCAATCCCCGGGGGACCCAAGACTTTCCTGTGTGGAGTTTGTACCCCACCTCTTGCCCATTGAATACTAGGACAGGCTTCAGTCCGTGAACCCCATTTGGGAATAAGCGCTTCCAAGAATGGATGGGTGGATGGATGTTTTAAAAAACTTCTTTTTTTGCAAATATATCAGTAAAGTGTGTAATGTGGGATTGACATTAGCGCTTAAGTTTCTGCTGAAGCAAAAAGTTTGAAAGACAATCCTAAAAAGGTGCTTGTGGAAATATGAAATGGTGAAGATGGGTGAGATTCCCTGGATAATGAAAATGAGTAAATTAGTAAATGAAGAAGAAAAAATAAAGGCTAAAAATCTAAATAGCAGTATAATAAAATATTTAAAAAACCAGGCTAAATACAATTGGCTGAGATAATGTGAACAGATATTTGGGTAAATTGAAATTATCAAAATTATTAAGTAAAATTATAAAAAAAATTAAAACACAGCTGTATGCCAGCATCTGTCTGTGCACACAGGCATGCAGCAAAGTCTTACAACAGTTCTCTGAGACCAGTATATTCATGCAGACACTTTTAAATATTGATATATGAATGAAAATGAAGCTTTAGTCATATTCACTGACATACAGACACAAACATACAAACACACAAATTCCCACTCGTAAATGCAGCCTACTTACAGGGTGACTTTGGCTGTCATGCAGCAGATGGCAAGGCTACTGCCCTCATCCAGCCTGCACTCAGTGGCTTTGACAGCGGGCTCGGACGTCACAGCACCTTTGCATACCAGGACCACCTGATGCCAACTTCACTTGCTCTTATAATACTCAGCTGGCACCCGAGCTGGTAACCCTGCCAGATTTGTTCAAACTATGAAAATAGTGTCAGGCTAGACATATGTATTTTTTTGCTTTTTCACTTGGCAAAATACTATTTCACTTTGTTTACATCTAACTCCGTGACTCAATTCTCTTAAAGTGGCAAATGAGTACATTTATTTTATTCTCTTACAGAATGCCCCAAAATGTAACTTTATAAGTCTGGACGTCTTAAAGAATGCAATAATTTTTTTAAATATTTTGTATTTTGGTAAATGTTCGTGGCACATCGTTTGCTGCTGGCATCAAACCTGTCACTCTCAGGTCCCTTGAGTTAACAGGCTCTCTAACCAAACCACCAGTGCATCAATTCTAACTGAAGAAATGCACAAAATTGATTCATGTAGCCTTGACAGCAGCTGAATGATGCTGGAAGGGATGTTAAAAAATGCACAGCTTCCCCTGGCTTGTCTGCTCATGACTGGTGTTATACGAGAGGTTGATGGCTGCACTCTCTTAGCAAGTCACGCATAACATGAATAAAAAAAAAAAACTCCATCCTGTAAACACATTTTGGAGACTGCTTGCTAATATTTGCTCACTGTTTATGATATATTAGCATTTTTAGTCTCATATTTACTTCCCCTTTTAAAAGAAACAATGTCCCGATGCCCGGCGGTGCTTTCACAAATCTCAATAATCCCTACAAGTATGTTCATAAAAATCACATAAAGAAGCCAATGCTTTACCGGTGACAGTAATTGCAAATAACGCATGGTGGAAAAGCATAGTAGATAATTGCCCTTTTTTTTGTCACGCACAATTTAAAGTTCAGTGAGTGCAAGTTTGCACGCATATATATGCTATCCACTCCATTGATTTGACATATAAAGCCCATGGACGCATGTTAACTTGTTGTTGTTCATGTAATATGCTTAATAACAATTGTTTGATATCTTAAATTGTAACATTACTGACAACCAAGTGGCATCCTTACACACAGAAATGCAAACACACTTTCACGCATTCTAACGGGCCTTTCAGTTTTAAAGATAAATACGAAAAGGGGGTGCTTTTTGTCTGGTTGCTATTTACCTGCAAATTCTTATGTCAGTGCTGTAAATCCCCCAGTACATTCTGTTGTGTAGATGTTTCTTTATGTACTTGCTGTATTGAACACACACAACGAAAGGAATCAATTTACCCTCCAAGTGTTTGTGTTGCATCTTTAATTACTATGGTCAGAGTGTGTTTGACATTTTTTTTCAGGAGCAAAAGCAGCAGTTGTGAAAAGCTTTCAGTTAATTTGCATTTGGAAGGGAAACGAAAGGTTAAACATAAAAGAGCAAACTGGAGCATTGCCTGTGCTACTTCCTCTGCCTGCTTATGTTTCTTTGTTCACTATAACATCAATACATGACATTCATTTTGCTATATGTAACATGTTCAATCACCGATAGAAAATATGTAACCTTGTGCCATTCATTTGAAAGCTTTAGGAAAAGGTTCATTTAATTTTTTTAAATCTAATTCATTCTGGACACAGGACACAAATCTTGAAGTATACAGAGTCTACTTGTGCTTGACCTGAACCCTTAAGTCAGTTTGTTATATAAAGTAAGTTATGATTTTTTGGTACATTTTGCAATGCTGTTTCAGAGTTCCCTCTATTCAAGGCATGTTTGTTGATCAATTTTCTCATACCTAATATTAATAAATAGATGATAATAAATAAGCGATAATAAAATGTAAATCAGTATGAGTATCATACATTTTCAGTCAGGATATTCTTTTCATATCTTTTGAAAAATGAAAGGAATGAACTTTAGTGACAGAATAAAAATGTATAAACATTTAACACACATGCTTTATGTTATTTTTATATACTCCTAATAGCTCTTTATACCCACAGTATAGTATGTTGGTATATTTAGTCATATACATAATCTATGTAGTTTAGGTAGTCAATAGTCTAAAAACTAAAGGCAAAAACGTTAAAGATTAATATGAGTTTGAATAATAATAAAATGAAATTATTTAGGATAAGTCAAAACACACAAACATAAACTGAAATGAGGTGCAGATGTTTCCAAATCAAATTATCCTCTTTTGGACTTCAGTATTAAATGACTGTGATGCTTTAAAACAAATATGCTTAACAATCTATTTGTTTAGCAATAGAAAAATACTTTTAAAACTATTGTAGAGGTTTTCTGTGTCATTGCTGGTGATAGATATATAGATAATATGCAAACCCATCCACCAACCGGTACCCCCGAGGACTCGAACCAGGAACTATCTTGTTTTGTCCTGCCCAATGTGCAAAAACCAATCCTACTATATATGTGAAAGGTTCTATTTGTATTTCTGCTGTGTCAGCAGGACTGTGTACGTGTATATCAGAGATCACAACCACATATATGCTCAGAGGCAATAATGACCTGAACATCTGTTAAACAATACACCACATTCTCAATTCAATACACAATCTTTTTATTGGTCACATTTTTATTGGTGTAACAAATTTAAAATGACCTAATTCACCCAGTGCTCTTAAACCCTAGTGAAATAGCATAATTTATTTAAAAAGGGCTGGGAGTTATACGGGCTTGTGTAGCTTCAGTTGTAAAACTAATGACCACATAAGAGCAATTAAACACCACATTAAAATCCCCTCTTTATGATAATATCACACTTGTCACTGATCCATTAGTTGCTGTATCTGCCAAGCAATGAGAATCTTAATTGCACAATTCATTCGGAACTCTGATTGAT